TGTATAAAAAAATTCACAGTTAACATCATACTTAAATGGTGAAAGACTGCATGTTTCCCCCCCTGAGATCAGGATGACTGCTCCCTTTAACACTGTACTGAAAGTTCTAGCAGGGGCAATTAGGCAAGAAAAAGAAATAAAAGGCATCCAGATTGGAAAAGAAGAAGTAAACTATCTCTATTTTCCAGGTGAGATGATCTTGTATATGGAAAAATCCTAAAGAATACACACATAAAAACTATTAGAGTTAATAAACTAGTTTAGCCAGGTTGCAGAATATAAGAATAATGTACAAAAATCTATTATATTTCTCATCACTAGCAAAGAAACAATCCAAAAATGAAATAAAAACAATTCCATTTATAATAGAAACAAAGGAAGTAAAATACTTACATATAAATTTAACAAAAGGTAAGTAAGATTTATATACTGAAAACTACAATATACTGTGGAAAGAAATTTAAAATCCAAATGGATTTTTAAAATCCTAAATTCATGGGGCAGAAGATTTAATATTGTTAAGATGGCAATACTCTTCAAATTGATCTACAGATTCAGTGCAGTCCCTATCAAAATCCCAGCTTTTTTTTTTTGCAAAAATTGGCAAGCTGATCCTAAAATTCATATAGAAATGCAAGGAATCCAGAAAAATTAATCTTGAAATATAAGTTGGAGGAATCACAGGTCTTGATAAAACTTATTACAAAGCTACAGTAAGCAAAATAGTGTGATACTAGCATAAAGAAAGTAAAGATAGTAGATAGATAGATACGTATATCTTCATGGAATACAATTGACATTCCAGAAATAAACCTGTGTACAGTTAATTTTCAACAAGGATATCAAGCCACTTCAATGGAAAAATAAGTCTTTTTATTATTTTATTTTATTATTATTTTTAATGTTTATTTTTGAGAGAGAGTGAAAGAGTGCAAGCGGGGGAGAGGCAGAGAAAGAGGGAGACACAGAATCCAAAGCAGGCTCCGGGCTCTGAGCTGTCAGCATGAAACCCGACATGGGGCTTGAACTTACAAACCACAAGATCATGACCTGAGCTGAAGTCAGATGGTTAACCAACTGAGCCACCCAGGTGCCCTAGTTCTGGGACAATTGGATATCCATGTGCAAACGAATGAAATCGAACCCCTATCTCAAACATACACAAAAATTAACCCAATATGGATCAAAGACCCAAATGTGAGAGCTTTGAGCTATAAAACTTTTGTAGTTTACCAAAAATAAACTTTTATAAAGTTTAAGCTTGTAAGTTTATAACTAGGTTGTAAACTTTATAAACATGTGTAACACTCTTAGATAAAAACATAGGCATAAATCTTCATGACCTTGAATTAGGGAATGGTTTCTTACATATGGCTCTGCAAAGCACAAGCAACAAAAGAAAAAAATAGATAAATGAGATATCATCAAAATTAAAAACTTTCGTGCTTCAAAGGGCACCAAGAAAATAAAAGGACAACCCACACAATGAGAGAAATTTTGCAAATCATAGGAAACTTCTATCTAGAATACATAAAAAGCTTTTATTACCGCTCAACAGCAAAAAGTCAAACAGCCCAATTAAAAATGGGCAAAGAACTTGAACAGACATTTATCCAAAGATGACATACAAATGGCCAATAAATACACACACAAAAATGCCCAACATCATTTGCCATCAGGGAAATGCAAATCATAACCACAAATTCACACCCACAAGGATGGCTATAATAAAAAGGCAGATAATAACAGCTGTTGGTAAAGGTGTGGAGAAATTGGAACATTCATATCCTGTTGGTGGGAATGTAAAATGGTGCAGCCATTTGGAAAACATTCTGACAGTTCCTCAAGTGGTAGATACGCAAACAAGAGAATTAAAAAACATGTCCACATAAAAACTTGTTCATAGAATGTTCATATGAATGTTCCTAGCTGCATTATTCACAATAGACAAAGGAAACCCAAATGTCCATCAATTGTGAATGGATTTAAAAAAGTATCTCCATACAATGGAATATTATTCGACAATAAAAAGGAATGCAGTACTGACAAATGCTACAGCATGGATGAACCTTGAGAACAGTGTGCTAAGTGAAAGAGGCCAGTTACATATTGTATGATTCCATTTACATGAAACATCCACAGGAGGCAACTCGGACAGAAAGTAGATTGGTGATTGACTAGGGCTAAGGGAAAGGAGTTGGGAACTGGGGTTGGGGGCAATAGGGAGTGACAGCTATGGGTATGGAGTTTCTTTTAAGGGGATGAAACTATTCTAAAATTAGATTGAGATGGTTGCATAACCCTGTGAATATACTAAAAACCACTGAATTGGATACTTCAAATGGGTTAGTTGTATGGCATGTAAATTATTTCTTAATAAAGCTGTTAAAATAATTTTTTAAAAAAAGTCAGACCGTCTGAGTCCTCAGGGAGCAGGAACTGGGATGTGGGATGCCTGGGGTGTCAGAGAGGGAGACCAAGGTATGGGTGTGCTATCTGGTCCCAGAAAGGGAGCAGAAGTTGTGGATTTCTTCTAAACCTCCACAGGACCCACTTCATCCTTCATTGTAGATAGATACCCGTGGGTGTCTGTTGATTAGGGTCTATGGTATCTTTGTACCAATTTTTAAAAGGTGCCTCGTCATGTCCAAGATAAATCATCTTGCTCAAGTTCACAAGTCAGTAGTAACACAAATTTCCATTTCCAATACCCTAGTCCAGTTTGTTTCTTCCTTGAATTCTGTCAGACTTTGATGCCAGCCTGTACAGGCAGAAGGCCTGGAGTCAGTGCTTGTCTTACTTTGCGAATGGCAATAGGCAGTGAGTGTCCTTGGCCAAACTGGTGTCTCTTCCCGCAGCTATGACATCCTGGTCCCTGCTGCTACCATGTGGCCCCCTTGTGCTGCTATGGAGAACAGGGATAAGAACCTTTTCTAAAGCTACTGTCTGAGAACCTGGGCATGACAACTCTTGAGTGAAGTCCCTGACATCAAGGGGATACTTGCTATTTCTGTTCCTGGAGCTACCTGGTGTTAACAGTCCTGACTTTACCAGCTATTGTAAAGTCCCCTATGACTGGCATGTGGGCCTGGAGAGGGGGTGCACATGGGTCACTTCCTGAGGCTGCCAACTTGGTCTAGTGTTGATAAGAGCAAGTCTAGAGATGATAAGAGCATGGTAAGGAGGAACTGGTTCACTCTGACCTTTGGTTTCATTTTGGCTTATAAATTGGGAAGGCCCTAGTGGCTGGACTTTATAATCCAAAGTCTGTTCTTGAGTGTCCTTCTAAAAATATTCAAGGGGCGCCAGGGTGGCTCAGTCAGTTAAGTGTCTGACTTTGGCTCAGGTCAGGATCTAACAGCTCGTGGATTTGAGCCTCGCATCAGATTCTGTGCTGACAGCTCACAGCCTGGAGCTTTCTTTGGATTCTGTGTCTCCCTCTCTCTCTGCCCCTCCCTTGCTTGTGCTCTCTCTGTCTCAAAAATAAATAAATAAACTTAATGGGAACATGCTAACCACACTGCTTTGTACCTTATTTTTCTCACTTGACATATTTTCAAGATATCTTTCAACAAAATAAGTTAATAAGCCTCATTTTTAAAAAACAGCTGCATAATATATTTTATAGTGGCTAGCTTTATGTAATTAGTCCTTTGCTAATGGACATTTAGGGTATTCCCGGTTATCACAAATTTTGCTGCACCGAGCATTCTTGTCTTCAACTTTGCCATGGAAGTGGAAAAAGAACTCTGTGGTGTAAATTTTTTGACATGTGCTTGCCAAGTCAAAGGGTATATGCATTTGAATTTTTTAATAAACATGCCCAAATCATCTCTCCCCAAAATTATATCAATTTATACTAAATGTGAGGTTTCTTTTTTTTTTTTTGGTCTTTAAAAAGTTGTGTAGTCTTCCAGATTATGGATAGGACTGTAATTTAACAGCCATCCTTTCCCCACTGATTTGAATAATCATATTTACCATAAACTAAATTCTCAGAAATAGGGCTGTTTCTAAACCCTCCCACTCCCAACTCCATTGGCTGATTTATTCTTGTGCCAATAATAACCTATTTTAACTTCAGTGCTTTGGTGTTTATCTAGTATGTCAAATACATCACCTCCATTGGTTCTTAAAAATGTATTACAGGAGTTTTGGGGTTTCAAGTTGTGTTAATAAATCTTTTTGGGTGACAGTGAATCTAAGGATTAGACTAGGGAGAATGTCTTTCCATGCAGGTACATGGTATGTCTCCATTTAGTTAGGTCTTAAAACCTTCAGGACAGTGATACCATTTTCTTCATATAGGTTTTGCATATTTCTTGTGAGGTTTATTCTTTTGTAGTTTATGGGTTTTGTTTGTCCCTCTTTGTCCCCCAAGTAGTTTTTCTAATTTATTACTGTAGTATACAGGAAATATACTAATTTAGGACCTCTGTGTATTATCTGTAAAAGGACAGAACTAGTCAGTAAAAGGTTTCCAGGATGAAATAACTATGGGCAGAGCTAAATAGATGTTCATTGTAGGATTTTTCAATGACTTTAGTACACTCTTGATCACCAACAATCCCCAAAAAGGGCACAGGAAATTCCTGGTACTTCCTTGACCAGGGAACCCTTTTTCAAAAGACATTCTGAAAACATATGTTGGGAAACAATGCATCCAAAGACCCTTCTAGTTTCTTATCTGTCAATCCAGGTGTCTCCACTGAACCTTATCTGATGTCCAAACTCCCACTCCCTTTCCACCCAACCAAAACACAGAAGACAACTCAGTGTCAAAGTGAATGCTTTAATGAGTGTTACTCAGAGAGAGACACACATCTCTCAATAGCTGCTGCCCACCTCCATCGTCCCCAGCTCTTTGTTGGCAAGGAGAGCTAGCTGCCCGGGGGTGGGGCAGGGATCTGGAGTCTAAAGAGTGAGCCGGGGCAAAGAGAGGTTCAGGACGCACCCCGTGAGGCCTGGGCTCCTGGGAGTGAGGTGGCAGGGCATGGGCTTCACGCTGGTCCCTCTTCAGGCATTCCTAGTAAAGCCACAAGGGGCTCGAGGGGCGTGGGGGTCCCGATGGGAACGGGGTGGGTACGCTCATGCTTGCGCAGGTCGCTCGCACTCAAGAAGGCCTTGGGGCAGTGGGGGCAGGTGTAGGGGCGCACAGAGCTGTGGGTGCGGCTGTGTTTGCGCAGCCCAGCCCGGTCAGAGAAGCTCTTGCCACACTGGGTGCAGGGAAAGGGCCGGAGCTCTGGGTGTGAGCGCTCATGCCGTCGCAGCAGCGTCAGCGTGGAGAACGTCTCCTTACACTCCCGGCACACAAACTGCGGTGGCTTCTCGTCAACTTCCTCACCTCCCACCTCGCCCGCCCCTGCCAAGGGACCAGGAGCCTCCCCAACCCCAGCATCTTGGCACTCCACATGTTCCACCGTCATGCCTACCACTTGCCACTGGGTGGCCATCACACCACCTGATTCGGGGGGCAGCCCTAGCAGCCCTGCTGGAGGGTCCCCTAGCCCTGCACCTGCTGCCGGGGCCGTTGAGCCCTCGCCTGCCACACTGACAGGCAGTGCCAGCCCTACTACCAGCTCCTGTTGAGGGGGAGCCCCTGCGGCCTCACTACTCCGATGGGTCCGCTCATGCTTCCTCAGGCTGGACGATACCACGAAGGATTTTCCACAGGCGTTACAGTGGAAGGGGCGCTCACCTGAGTGCACCCGGCTGTGCTTAGTAAGGCTGGCTCGCTCGGCGAAGGCTCGCCCACACTCCTCACAGCGAAAAGGCCGTTGGCCTGAGTGGACCAACGCATGGCGCTTGAGGTCCCAAGACGCCACGAACGTCTTGTCACACTGCAGGCACTTGAACGGCCGGTCGCCTGTGTGCACCCGCCTGTGCATGGCCAGGTCTGCGGGCTGCCGAAAGTCTTTGCCGCACTTCTCGCAGCGATAAGGCTTAACCCCCTCGTGGGCCCGCTGGTGGCGCCGGAAGCTTGAGGGGTCGGAGAACATGCGGCCACAACGCGGGCACAGGAAGGGCTTCTCGCCCGAGTGAGTGCGCTCATGGCTCTGGTAGGAGCTGAGCTGCGTGAAGCCCTTGCCACAGGCTGGGCAGCGATAGGGCTTCTGTGCCGCATGGATCCGCTGGTGGCACGTGAGAGAGGACGAGCGGGAGAAGCTCTTCCCACACTCCGAACAGAGGAAGGGGCGCTCACCGGTGTGGGACCTGTGGAGTGTGGAGGATGGGTCATGAAGGTGGCAGGTCCCTCACCTGACCACTGCTGCCTGTCTGCTGTGAGTTAGGGGCTCCTAACATCCCGGGGGTAGGGGGTACATAGGGCTGCACCCCAGAGTAGGGAATCTTCAGGCTAGGTGTCTAGATCCCAGATAAGACCCCACCAAGAGCCAGACCCCACTCCCACCTACTAACCTCCACCAGAGACCCTCCCGGTGGCCCAACTTCCAGCAGGTCCCCTTTCCAGTCGGACCCAGGCCAATCAGATCCCAACGGAATCCTCCAGGGCTCCCTCCCAACACAGTCTGCCCCGCCCCTGCCCAACCAGGGGCACCAGCTTCTCCCCACGGCCCAGCTCCACTCACCTTCCCATTGGCTCTTTTCCCTCTTTGAGCCTCAACCCCACGCCCGGTTGGTCACAGGGCCACCGCTGTTGCGCCATATCCCTTCCTCCTCCACCCCTGGTCGGTTCTTCCCAACCCCGGCTCCCTCACCACAGCACCGCACCCTCACCGCTCATGGTTGCGTAGGTCCTTGAGCTCAGCGTAGGCCTTGCCGCAGCGCTCGCAGCCGTAGGGCCGTAGGCCCGCGTGGGTGCGCCGGTGCTTGCGGAACACGGAAGGGTCGGCGAAGCTCTTGCCGCAATCGGAGCAAGCATAGGGCCGCTCGCCCGTGTGACCACGCTGGTGAATCTTGAGCTTGGAGAGCGCGCCATAGGCCTTGGGGCAGTGAGCACAGCGGAAGGGCAGCTCGCCAGCATGTGAGGCCAGGTGCACACGCAGGCACACTGGCTGCATAAAGCGGCGGCCACACTCGGGGCAAGGGAAGGGCTTTTCACCAGTGTGGCTGCGACCGTGACTGCGCAGCTCAGGTGCCGTTTTATAGGCCTTGGGGCACAGCGGGCATGCATAAGGCCGAGGCTTTGCCGATGCACTTGACACCTTGTCCCCACTGGCATCCTCTGCTTTGGGTTCTGTCTCCGGCTTCAGCTTCGTTTCCGCCACCTCCTCTGTGTAGTCTACAGGACCATGGGTGGCAGCATGACGCGCTGCCCTGGGCGCATTTGGAAATGTCTTAGTACAGGACAGGCACTTGTAGCGACGGCCGGATCGCTTGTAGCCGAGGGTGGAGGATGACCGGGCCTCCGTAGACTCCACCTCCATGGCCTCAGAGGGCGGAGCTTCTCTAGGAAAGAAGCAAAGTTAGACACAAGCCACATCCTTCTGCCATTCTCTAAGGCCTCTATCCTTAACAAGGCCTCAGAGAGGAGTTCTGTCTTACCAGCATTTCCCATGGGGGATGGCCACATCCTTCTTTCCAAACACCCCTGGGTCTAACACTCTGCACTCAAGTTTCCTGTCTGGTCTGTTCATTGAGGAAGGAAGTTGGACCAGGTAACCTCTGAGGGTCTAAGAGAGGAGTCTGGAGTTATCAAAATGTGCACCTGCACTTCTCTCCCCAGCCTCTGGGCTTTTCCAAATCCTGCACATTCCCAGAAGGCCCAAGTTCCATCCATCTCACCATCTTCCTTTTCCAGCTCAGCATCTAAGGCCTGTGCCAGGACACAGAGTCCTATGCATGCCTGCAGACACAGAGGCTACGTAGATGTGGGTCAGACCTGAAGGTTGCCAAGTGCCCAGAGAAGACAGAGGTAGGTTCAGAAGAAGGCAGAACTAGTGGGCTAACTGGTGATTGGCACGGTCTGTCTGGAAGAAGTAGGTCCCCAGTGTATGTATTTTGTCTTTCCCTTCTGGTTAGTTAGCTTTCAGAGGCAGCAACTGTTCACACAGAATTCTGGCCTTGCACAGCTGTAAGGTACTCCACCCTAGACAGGAATCCTGGTCCACCCTCTGCTCTGGAATTGCTGTTGAGCTCCTGCTCCCATAGCTCTGGTAATGGGGAGCTCAGTTACTCTCAAGGTGGCTTGAGCCATTGCTAGCAATTACATGTGTCTCAGTATAATCAATATATCTGATTTAGCCTGGCCTCCTGGGACACCTGCTCTGGATAAGCCCCCTTCTTTCTCATTCATAGCCCAGACACCCTCCATCCAGCTGCTCCTGGGGATCAAGGCTGGGAGGAAATAGGATTAATGGCTGCATTAGTCTTAACACCAGCTCATCCTCCCTAGGGGATGAAAAGAAGAGGATTATGGGCAGATCCACTTAGGAATGGCTCAGCAGCAGCTGCTGGGGGTGGCCAGGGGGAGGGAGGATGCTGCTATAGACAGGGCAGGGGAGCCAGGTGTGTGCAGAATCCAGTCTGGGAGGTAAGAAGCCTGAGTTCTACTGCTCCTTTCTAGGCCTGTTTCCTCATCTGTATACCTCAGGGTTTGGTGGCTTTGAAGTTCTGACCCAGGGAGGAAGTTCTGACCCAGCCAGGGCTGCATCTTTATAGTCAGCACCCTTCTGCCTAGTGGCCCTGCCTCAGTCCCCACCCCTACACACATCTGCTATGTGCACAGACAGCTTCTTCATAAAGTATCATGTGACACTTTGTCCCCTGCTCAATAACTTTCCATGACTTCCATCATACCACGCAAACTCTCAGGTCCTTCCTGGCTGTTACAAATCCCACCAATCCTTCCTTTGAGCCCCACTCCCCCCAGGAAGCTCTTCCTGCATTTCCCCTCTGGTTTTTGGCCCCAATCCCACACAACTCTGTTCCACCCTCAGCTTGGTTCTTTTCACTTTTCCCACTAAGTGCTGGCGCTGGAAGGTGAGTTAAAGGGCTTGAGGACCAACCTTCCCCGTGGTTTGAATTTCCCCCTACAGTTCCCAGGGGATCCTTCCCTGTCTCTGGATGAGGCAGTCACTACCTCCTTTCCAGACCATCTCTGGACAGACTGCCTGATAAAGTTTCTCTTTAATAAAAAAGATAGCTCACATTTACTGAGCACTTGCTAAATAAAAGGCAGTTTCCTAAGCTCTTTACGTATATTAACTCAAACTTCACATCAACATCGCAATAAAAGTTCTATTATATAGATTCCTTTTTTACAGATATGGGAACGGAGGCCCAGAGAAACAATGTAGCATTGTGGTTAAGTGTCCCGTCTCTGAAACCAGACTGCCTGGCTTTGAATCTTGCCTCACTCACTTCCTAGCAGTGACCTTGTGACATTTACTTTATGCCACAGGACCTCAATTTTCTCATCTGAAAAATGGAGGTAATAGTACTTACCTCACAGGGTTGGATGAAGACTGAATGGAAGTGATATGATATGAATAAATGCCCTCAATTACTGAGAGTCTTCTGAGAGCCAGACACTTTGCTGAGCACGCTACCTTATTTAGTTCTCTTACAGCTTCCTGAGACAGAGATCTTATCCTCATTTTACAAACAAATGAACTGAGGTTCCAAGGGATTTAGTGACTAGCCCATGGTCACAAAGCTAGACTCAACAGCTGGGACTTGAATCAGATGTTTAACTTGCCTTGAGTTGCTGGGCCCTTGATCAGTCGTCTGGGCCCTCCCAGACTTGTCTGCTGCTGGGCCAACCCTACAGTGACCAGAACCCTGAATTCAGGCCACATCTTCATCTTCTCTCATCCCTGTAGAACTGCCTTGAGACCAGAACCAGCACCCTTTATGTCTGTTTCCCTCTCAGAGGGCTTGACCCCTGCGTTCTGAGCTCTGGGCCTCAGTGTTCCCACCTGTGAACCAGAAATCAGAGAGCTGGAGGTACACATCTCTCCTCCTGAAGCACTTCCCTGGGGAAAAGGTAGGGAAGCACTTTCCTGGGGAAAAGGTAGGGAAGTAGGCTGGTCCCAACAGGTGCCCAGCTCCATAAAGAGCAGAGGGCCATGTGGGCTAGGCCCCCGTCTAAATCCCACCATTAACTCCTCACTTCATTGTTCACTGAGGACTCTTCCACTCATCACTCCCTAGAGTTATGTTTCTCCAAGTCAGGTCTGTGAACCCCGTCCCCTGCATGAGAATAATCATCCAGGGAGCATGAGGATGGACTCAGAAAGCTGTACTTTATTTATTTATTTTTTAACGTTTGTTTATTTTTGAGACAGAGAGAGACAGAGCATGAACGGGGGAGGGTCAGAGAGAGGGAGACACAGAATCTGAAACAGGCTCCAGGCTCTGAGCAGTCAGCACAGAGCCCGACGCGGGGCTTGAACTCACTGACCGCGAGATCATGACCTGAGCCGAAGTCGGCCGCTTAACCAACTGAGCCACCCAGGTGCCCCAGAAAGCTGTACTTTAAACATCCTCTCAGGGCCATGCCAACCAACACTTAAGAAGCAAAGACGCATCCTTGGGTCTTCACAAAGCTTCTAGGAGAGGCACTACGACGCCTCTTTTTCACATACGGAGGTTAAGGCCCCAGTAAGGAAAAACACTTTACAAGCACACCTAACTAGTCAAGAGGCACAGACTCAAATCCAAGTCTTCAGGCCCCTGGGTTCTTTCTCTACCAGTCTTCATTTACTTCAGGTTTATGAGACAAATCAGGGGACTTTCCACTGCTCCTAAGACAAAGACCAGTATCTTTTCCATGGCTAGCAAGGCCCCGAATGATCTAACTCCTGCCTACCTCACCTTCCCCTCCATTTCATGGTGTCACTAGGCTCCATTCACACAGGCTGTCTTTCTTTTCCAAAAATAGCTAAATTCCTTCCCACCTCAGGGCCTTTGTACTAGTAGTACCCTCTGCCAGAACCACTATTCCCCAAGGATCATTGTGTAGCTATCTCTTTGATTTCATTTGGGCCTCAGCTCCCTGTCACCTCCTCAAAGAAGGCTTTCCTGACTACCTTTCTTTTTAAGTTTATGTATTCTGAGAGAGACAGAGACCATGTGAGTGCAGGGGGAGGTGGGCGGAGAGAGAAGGAGAGACAGAATCCCAAGCAGATTCCATGCTGCCAGTGCAGAGCCCAACTTGGGGCTTGAACTCATGAAACTCTGAGATCATGACCTGAGCTAAAACCAAGAGTCTGACGCTCAACCGACTGAGCCACCCAGGTGCTCCTCCTGACCGCCTTTCTTAATGCTATCTGCATTCTTGCTCCTCCTTAGTTCCCCTTACGATGCTCATCTGGATAACATTCCTTGCAAGGTTACCATGGGCCAGGTATCATTCTATGCATTTTGTGTGTACTACTCAAGTTAAGCCTCACAACTGCCTAGAAGTTTCCTATGGACTGAATGCGCACATGTATGGAGAAAGCCATGTGAGGACATAACAAGAAGGTGGACATCTACAAGTCAGGAAAAGAGTCCTCACCAGGAACTGAATTGGCCAGCATCTTGATCTTGGACTTCCCAGCCTCCAAAACTGTGAGAAATAAATTTCTGTTGTTTAAGCCCTTCAGTCTTGTGGGGTTTTTGTCATGGTTAGCCTGAACGGATTAAGTTAAACAGTATTATTTTCCCCATTTTACAGACAAGGATACTGAGGCACACAGAAATGAAGTAACCGGTCATGGTTACAGCCAGTATTCAAAGTCAAGTGGTCTGCCTCCCAAATTTCTGCTCTCTGTCCTGACTGTTGCTTTGGTAGCACTTACACATTTTATAGCTTGATTGTTAACTTTCTGTCTCCAACACCAGAGTCTAGGCTGGCAAAGAGCCAGGAACCTTTATTATTTTATATCCTCTACACCTAAAACTGTGATTGGTGCCCCAAAACAAAGTGAATGAATCAACCTCTGAGACAGAATTCAAACCCAGGCCTATTGCTTCTGCCTCCCCTATAGTAGGTGTTTGTGAGAATGTCTGCCAGCAGCTATTTATTAACTGAATTTCTCTGCCTTTCCAATTTCACAAGTTCCAAAAATCGCCCCATTATCCCATAGTGGGTTCATTGTTCTGGTGAGGGAGGTTTCTCTTTGCTTCACTACTGGCTTAGGAGGGGGATGCGGGCCTGCTGCCTGACCAGGCTGTAAAATGCCAGAGATGCAGGGATTTAATTCCCAGACAGCTTAGGCTATGACGCTGTGAGCAAGGATGAGGTTTAAAAAAAAAAAAAAGGAGCTGCTTTTTCTCTTCTCTGCATTTTGGTCTCCCCCATGTGTAAACAAGTAGATGCCAGTAAGGCCTTTGAGCCATTGAGATCTGGTGAGATGATGGATGGGGAACTGAGAACTGTGCAGAAGTGAAAGCTAATCATCTCCTAGGCCTCCAAACTGGTCAGTTCACAACCTAATCCTAA